CGAGCTCGCAGGGCATACTGTCCACCGCCAGGAAGCAAAGGTAGGTATGCAAAAGGGAGGGGAGGTAACTGTTAAGCAGATTGCGAAGTCAAAGACTACCACGGAGCGGAATAGGATCATGCTCACTCGTCTGCTGAAGACACCTAAGCTAGATTCACGACCAGCAACTCTACCGATTAGAAAATTGATTGGACTATAAAATCGCAGGTTTTTTTGCAGAAAAACAGACTAAGCACAGACTGCTTACAAAGTTGGATAGGGTGATCGCTAGGAGAACGGGGGTGAGTGTGAGAAGGAAAGTAAATGTTACGCTACCTTTTGACTCTTGTATTCGGAGGAAGGCCGTGAGACTGACCATTGAAATGCTGATCGAGACTGTGGGGGAAGATAAAACACTGACCGCTTTCTTGAAAACAAGGATTCAAACAGTATGGGCACGCAATCACAGTGTGGTGGAGTTTTTGCATAACCAAAAACGCTTTGCCACTCTGCATGAGTCACTTTGCCCCTGTAGGGGCTCTGCTATTCCGAAATATGAGGGCCACGTGCTATGAGATTTTCAGAGTTGGGCGTACCTCGGTTCGTATGGTATTCGAGGAACGTTGTCGAGCGTATCGGCTCCCGCCTTTTTGCAAAGGTGCGGGAGCCCTCCCGACCGTGTCACGCAGGAGTAAATCATAACAAAAATAGAGCCAACTTGGGAACGACGCAAAGTATCCCACAAACCGTCGAGACGGGCGTGGTCGCGTCGTCCCTTCGCCACTCGAGCCGCGTGCGCCAGCTATACATCCCGCGGTCCCCTACGACAGGATAGGTTCCCGCGCCCCCTGGAGGTCTCTCTTGGTGCTCTGGCCAACTTGGCCAAGGCTCTGCCGAACCAGGCATTGCACTACTTGTTGGGGGCTTTTACGCACACAGCAGATTGGACTAGGAGATGCAAAGATCGGCTAAAGGGGATGGCAGAGGGCAGATAGATGCAAATGGAGTGCCGGCCGGTTCTTGGCTTGTGATCTTATTTGTGCTTGTTTTATGCGGTAGCGACTTTTCTCGGCTCCCTTTTGATTCGACTAGTTGCTTTATTCGATTTCAATATATTCTGTTTTGGTTAATATTTCTCGGCCCCCCTTCTCCGGCTCGTTGCTTTATTCAGTCGCTTTTATTTGTTTCACTTTTTCGTGTTCGAACCCCTCTTCTCGCAGGGGCTCAGTTTTGTGGGACCCCTCTTACAGCGCTTGGAGGACGCGCCTAGACATGTGGGCAATAGAGATGTACTAGGTTTGGGATTCGCCCGAGGCCGAGCTCGGAACAAGGGCTACAGGTATTTTCTTGAAAATGAACTTGGGCAGGGTAGTAGTTTCAGACGCTGGTCTTCGGATCCTCTTCTGTTTTGACTACCGTTTTCACCGGAATAGAACACCCGGTCATTATAGCTGTATTTGGTGGAACTTTCAGTCTAGTTGCAGTGATAATGACCGGGCGTTCTATTCGGGTGAAGACGGTAGTGTTTTTGAGAAGTGGACGTTACCAGGCAGTAGCTAGTTTCGTGGGAGCAAACTCGAACGGGTTTCGTCTGTACCGATTCAAGGGAGTCGGGACTCACTTTGCAATTTGAGGCGGCATATCTAGACGATTAGAACACTTGGTACCGGGGGATGGGAGAAGCCGGTGGTTACAGTCAACGGTTCATGGTCTTCAGTCTTGGTCGTCGGGGGATAGGATGCTAATTTTATTGTCGAATTCCGGCGGGAAAGGACTTCATGGGGAAACACTAACGTGGAATAGGAGGCAGAAGATGAAGTAGGGAGACAATACAGCATGGGGTGCAAGGCTTAGGTGCCCCTTTTCGAGCACGAAGGCTGTTTGGAGTCACCCTCCTAATGATGCTTGTGGTGGGTAGGTGAAACCGGTCAGGGGATCCAGATGTTGCTCTCGTGCAGTTTCAAACAGTTTGGATTCGTTTTTGACTTGCGCTCGCTTGTGTCTGAGTTCGGGTGTGGATTGGCTATGGCTGCACGAGCCGTTTAGCCCCAGCTCGCCCTCTCTCTCACACACACACACACACACACACACACACACACACACACACACACACACACA